AAAATGGTTAACTAATATTAGTTCTATCTCTGAGATATAAAACTGACAAATAAAATTTTTGTTGTAGTTACAAAAATAAAATTTAAAAAAAAGTAGTAAACAATATTTTAAAAATAAATACCCATTAAAACAATGCATTAACATATTTATTAAAACTTACTAAACAACTTTGCAACTCAGTGTTATTTCATAAAATAAGAATATTTAGATTATTTTCATTTACACTATTGAGCAATAAATTTGTTCTCAGTTTAGAAAATAAAAGGATAAAAAAAGTGTTAAAGATTTTTCCAAGTTTTTAAAATTTCTAAATTTTCAAAAGTTGTCAAAAACGGAAAACTCTCTGTTACTCTACTGCATTAAAAAAAATGTTTATTTAAATAAATGATTTTTAGTTTTCTTACTTTCTCAGTTTATTTAAATAAATTATTTTTAGTTTTCTTACTTTTCTCTATTTAAATAAATTATTTTTAGTTTTCTTACTTGGCTTGGTTTTTACTCTATGAGCTCTGTAGCCTTTGCGGCACATTTTTTTGAAAATATTAAAGTGTAGTCTCAAAGAGTAAGAATTTGGTTAACTTATAAAAGTTGCATTCATTTACAAAAAAAAAAATTCCTAAGGCCTTACCAAGCTCTCAAAAAAAAAAGAAAAAATTGCGCCAACTGGGTACCACCACTGGGTAAGTTGGCGCAAACTATAAAAATGATTATTAATGTACTATTAAGTGCAAAATTAATAAAAAAGTTTTTTAATTTAACTAGTAAACCAATTGCGACTGGAACTTTTACAATATATATTTTTTCATTTGACTGATTATTTTTTTTTGTAAAGTAAAAAGGAACCGATGTTCCATAAGTTACGTTTTTGTCCGAGAAACACAAAATTTCAACATCTCCCATGCACATGCACGAATCCTGACAATACTACAGTGAATGATAAAATGGTCAATTAGGAAAGTTCTGTGTAATTTTTTCGCTTTATGATAAAAGGCTCTTACCCATGCGGCCAACTAGCCCCGGTCCTCCCTAATTGAAGGTCAGTTAACAAAGTTATTTGATGAGAGAAGAAATTATTAGATTATTCTGATAATAAAACATTATGTTTAATAGCAAAATTATAAGAAAAGAGCAAGGCATGTTCTCAGCTGGTAGGACAGTATATTTCCACCAGCAGAAAATATGCGCTCTGTTATAGATAATGAGAAATCTTAACTAAATTATTTAAAAAATTTAAATAAGGAAACAAAAATTTAAATTTTTGTTTGCTTGTTTAAATTATATTATTTATTTAATTAAATTATGTATTTATTAACAAAAAGTTGAATTTCAAAAATAATTCATAATCTGAAAATACTGATGTTTCTAAAACCTTATTTTAAATTCAATGAGAAAACCCGCGCCAAATAAATTTTTCAATTAATTAACGTGAACAGTGAGTTCGAACGTTGTTTACCTTTCGTTTAGTTTTCGTTTGAAAAAAGTAAAATTTTTATTCAAAATTGTAAAGTAAGCAGAGAGGATTCTGCGATCCTATTCGAACGTGTGTGCGATTGAACTCAGCTAATTTTATTTACCTATAAGAGCTTTTTTATTTTATCCAAAACTATAATTTTTTTATTTTTAACTTTGAGTTTTCATAAATTTTTAATTACAGTTTTTAACGGTTTGGGGGGGAATGTTTCTCCACATACACACAAGGAAAATCAAATTTAACTCATAAACATTAATTATAAGAATATACCCAGCTTAAAAAATCCAGTTCTACAAACCTTGTTTGTAGAACTGGATTTTTAAAGACATTTTTATTAGACATTTTGTAACTTTTGAAAAATAAAACCTCTCTCGTAATAATTTAAAAGCACTCCTCTTTGTAGAGCATGTGTTTCGCTTTAACTTAAAGCAATATTTTATTGGTGAAATATTGTATAACTAAGATAAGCATTTTTCCTAATTGTTATATTTCATGATTTTATTTCATGCCAATCCCAGTATCTGACAAAACGACGTTTATACTTTTAAAAAATCGAATTACGTAGCAAATTTTGAAATGAATGAGAAAAAAAACTGCATTGGCATCATTTTTAAGTTTGCAAAAACGCTTTGTGGCATTCAAAATTTGCAATATATTAACGTATGGGCTGTCATCTAAATCGAAATCCATACGATCACGTATATATAAACCTGTTATATATCGTTAATATCTTCAAGTTTCGCTAATTTTTTTTTAATTATTTTTTTTTAATTAGTAAAATACTTTTTTAAACCTAAATCTAAGGAAAAAAAAATTAAAAAAAAAACATTTATGGTGATAACTACCATTATAATATTAGTTATTATTATTATTGTTTTTTTCATTGCAAATATTGTAAGCATACTTTTTTATTACTATAATTTGTATTATTATTTTTTTATCTTATATTAGTATAATATATTATTATTGCTATTATTATTGCTATTATTATTATTATTATTACTATTACGGTGCAATACCATGATTTATTTTACTTACACTATATTCATTAAAAAAAAAAGACATAGGATTTTAAGGAGTCTGAAGTGAAATTTTTTAAAATATAAACAAAATTATTATTAAAATTGTATTTAATTTTACGTCTGATGACGGTCTGAACTATTCAGACTGAAATATTACATAAATAAATTAAAATATTAGTACTTAGCTGTATTTTATGTGTTATAAATTAAATAAATAAATTATCAAGTACTACAAGAAATGTCATTAAAACAATTAAACAAAACTAAAGCGTTTTTCGACGTCAACGATACCTGTACACCACCCGTTTTTTTTAAGTTTGAACTCAAATATTTAAAACCGTAGTAATTAAGATATAAAAATAGAATTGAAAATAATATATAGATTGTTCTTGTAGCATTAGTTATATGATAAATAAAGATTATAAGCATATATTTTTTTTGGTTATGTTGATAAATATAATTTATTTTCAACACTTTTACTTAATCGGCTTTCTGAAACATGCTTAAACTTTGTTTAAAGTGTTATTTTGAAACGTTTAAAAGTCCTTTTAAAGTGGACTTATTTACGTTTAAAACGTCACTTAAAATGGACTTACTTAAATTGTTTAAAATGTTGCTTAAAATGAGCTTATTAAAAACATTTAAAACTGGATTTATTTACATTGAAACGCTTAAAACCTCGCTTGGAATGGACTTAATTTGTTTGAAACTTAAATTGTGAGCTTATTTAAAACATTTGAAACTTCGCTTAAAGTGGATTTATTTAAAATATGTTTGAAATTTCGCTTTAAATGGATTTATACAAAACATGTTGAAAAGTTTGCTTTAAATGGACTTTAAATTAAGTGTAAAAATAATGTGTAAGGGTTGCTTTAAATTTAGTTTTACAAATTATTTTATTGCTTTCTTACAAATAAACAAATTTAACTTTACCTTGGTTAATAAATTCTTTTAATTTAACTTATAATAAATTTTTTTTTTTTGAACAAAATCTATGCGTTAGCGACCTCATTAATTGCAATTTTTATGTTATATCTGTAGAAAGAAAGATTTAACATTTCATTTAAGTTTGGTTAGTATAAGGTGTATGATGTCTTATAGAACTAAAAAACTCGATTAAATATTGTAAAGATTTATACACAAAACTTAGTCTCAAAATGTAGATCCACTTTAAGTGTTTTTTTGTACAGTGACGAAATATACATGGTCAAAATAACAAACACTTAAACTCAAAATTATGCTTTTAAAACAAAACTTCCTATCCGCAAACCTTTATAGAAGCAATAGTTCGATTAGAAAAACTTGCTATTAACTTTTCAACAGCTATAACTTAGTCTAAAAACTAATCAAAAACGTAAAGTGGACTCAAAAAAGTCCACTTTAAGTAAAAGTCCACTTTAAGTTAAGTTTTTACCAATGAAAAGGCCACTTTAAGTCGATCTAACAAAAAATATATATATATATATATTTATATATATATATATATATATATATATATATATATATATATATACATAAGTATATATAGATATATATATATATATATATATATATATGTATATATATATATATATATATATATATATATATATATATATATATATATATATATATATATACATATATATATATATATATATATATATATATATATATATATATATATATATATATATATATATATATATATATATATATATATTTAAACATATATATATATATTTATATATATATATATATATATATATATATATATATATATATATATATATATATATATATATATATATATATATATATTATATATATATATATATATATATATATATATATATATATATATAAATATATATATATATATATATATATATATATATATATATATATATATATATATATATATATATATATATATATATATATATATATATATATATATAAATATATATATCAACTCTCAGAAATAGGGTCGGCAATAGGCAATGCTCACTTATTTGCCGACCTAATTGTGTTTAAGGTTGGCAAAAACACGCCAACCTCTTTTTTCAATTTTTTTGCCCATTTGATGCCGATCTCTAACAGTTCATGGTTGGCAATAAATCGCCAACCTCCTTTTTCCTAATTCTGATGGCTTTTTATATAGATATAGATATAAACATTTGTATACAAATATATATATAGAGAGAGATGTTCTTCATCATTGAATAATTGTAAAAAAATACTAGATATATTTTTCCTGAATTTCTGTTACAAGGAAATAAGAACTGACATTTATCATAATAGAGTTTTTTTTTTTTTTTTTTCTTGCAAATGCCTATTATATATAAATTTTTCATTTTGATATCCTTTTGAAGTAACATTTTATTAATTAGGCTTTATTTATCAAAATCTCAGTGGACTTTATTATGTCCACTGAGATTTTGGTAAGAACTGATATGGCTGTAAACTGTCATCAAGTGTTCTATGTTTTTACAGTTTTTGAGTTTATTGAAAAATATTTTTTTAAGATGGTCATTCTTTCCTGTCAATTGACAACGGACAAGCATTAGTCTCACATAGAAATGTTGAAGGTAATACAAAATTTAAACTTGGTTTAAAAATTATTTTTGTTTTAATACTAATACTAATAATTATATAAGAGATTTTGGTTGCGTAAAATTTTGTTTGAATGTTTTTATTTGTTCTGTGTTTTGCGCTTAAAATTTTCTACAATGAATACAACATCTTGATACTAGTTTTTCATTTTTTTGTTTAAAAGAAATATATATATTTTTTTTTATTTTATTTTTTTTTTAAATTGAATAAAATTACTTGAGGACAGTGGCGGAACTACTGGACGCAGGACCCTGCGTTGTGGGGGGGGGGGGTCTACCAGCTATAGGGGACCCTCATATAAAAAAAGTTATACTCTCAATAATATTTATACTATAAAACTCTTTTCAGCAAAAAAAACAATTTTTCGCGGGGGGAAGGGGGCCTAAATTTTGAAGTTCCGCCACTAGTTGAGGATACACTATTTTAAACATGTTCCTCTGTAATAATAAAAAATTATTTAAAAAATTCCTTTAACTCCTAAATAGAGAACTACTTTTATAATGTTTTGATAGTTAAAGATATATACAAATAATATTTATTGCACAAATACAGTTTTTATGATTTTTAGTAAAATACACTAATATTTGTGACATAACAAATTTATTTTTAAATTGTTAAAATATCAACATTTATCACAAAATAGAACAAAAAATATGTATAACTTTACAAATTTACAAAACATGTTTTTTTTTTTTGTTTTTTTTTTCACAAGCATTCACAGTTGCCTAATTGCTTGAAGAATGGGTATGATGAGACTGCACCATTACAAAAACAAATAAAAATGAATAATGACAACATAAGAAAAGTTCTTATTTAAACAATAATGAAACTATTATAAATTGTTTGCTAAAAAAGCAACTACATTTCTCAATATAATATGTGTGTGAAAAACTTTTAACTATGATGTTAATTTAAATATGGTATTAAAACTTTTTTTTTCCCTTTTTTTTTTGTTAGTTATTTTTTTGTAAGACTAAAATGAACATGGATATTGTAAAATAATAATATTTTAAAATAAAAACATTTTGTAGTAAATAATGTTATAGTAACTACATAATAAAATATTTGTTTTAAATTTTTAATTTAATGTCAACTTGGAAGTTTTAAATAAAATTTCCTTGTTGTCATACATGAATTAAATCAATATTTATTTTTTTATTTAAGTTTTGTGACAAAAATATGTTGTTGTTTTTTTACAACAAAAACTTATGTGACAAAAAAATGGTGAGTTTTATATTTAATATAACTTAAAGTGTAAGGAAGGTAAAGTTTGTCAAAGCTCAATACAATAAAATAAAGGTTTACATGACTTATTTATATGGGCTAAAAACATATAGCTGCTAGGTTCTAATATTTAATTTGCCAATAACATTTTATAACTTCTATTAATAAAGTTACTAATCTGAAATGTTAAAATTATTAGCAATGTTAGTGTTAGAGTGCATAGTGATGTTAATGTTAGGGTTTACGCATGCATAAAAATGAATAATATTTCTAATTATATATCACTAGTCTTTATAAAATTTAAATTCTCATTAAGTACTCATAATTTCCATACTTGGATTTTCGCTTTAGATGAGTTAAATTTGGATCAGTTGAATATTGAGAACTCCAAGTCAAATGAAGACCAACTTATATTTGCAACTGGATATGCAAAGGTTTTGTATAATTTGTTGATGTGTTTAATTGCAGTTTGCTTCAAAAAATTTTATATAAACTTTCAATTAGGTGTCTCTGAAAATCTTTTTATGTTCAATTCTACAAACTGTATTAACTTATTTTAACGTCTTGAATTTTTCACTATCCAGACATTTTTTCAGATAAAACATTATAAAATTTTTACTGTAAATAATATATTCATACATTTAATACAGCTGTCTTATTGATATTGGCTTCCCAAACCCAATCCTCCATTTTGAACGAATTTGGTAGTTTATTTTGAAGAAAATCAAACACAAAAAGACATTTATAGAGCTTTACAAGATCTTGAAATTTTAGAATTTTTATTTCAGAAAACCTATTTTGGATATTAGATCGTAAAGGAGAAAACGTTGCAATTTTTATGGAAGTGCGTTGTAAACTGTTTATACAATGTAATAGAAAGCTATCTTTTTGACCTTATTATTTCAATTTTAATTTAATTAAAACTACTTGTCAATTTTAGCTAAAACTCGATTAATCAATATTAATTAAAACTACTTGTCCTTCACAGTTTGCATTTTTAAAAGGTATAAAGACTGAGTTAATACATTGTACAAACTGATCCATCTCCATCAAACTATAACGGGACACAGTGTGGTGTGTATCTGAAGGTCCAACAACACCCCAGGCCTTGTGATGAATAAAAACTGCGTGACGCATAAGCACAACGTGATTTTTGACGTCATTAAATTCTTTTTATTTGCTTTTCATATTTATCGACATTAACTGCACCAATTTACTTAAATACCGCAAAACTACTTTAAATCATTAATGCAGAAATGTTATTATTTAAAAATGTTTTGGAATGTTTCTTTTTTTAAAGTGTAAAAACATTTGCTTATTTTCTCGACGTTTGAGACGTTTCGTCTAAACTAAACAAATAAAAAACATACGTTTTTCAAATAATTATTTTTTTCTTTTTAAAAAGCCAGAGAGTAATAAACTGGAAATTTTAATATTGTACAATTAAAAACTGTGCAATAGCTAATATTTTTACGAGCGATTTTATATAATATTTTTTTATTTATTTATTTTCATAAAGCGGTTGATAAGCACAATCACATGTATTATTAAAAAACTTTAACGAACGTTTTGAATAGATTTTTAATGTTGTGAAGGAATTTTATCATTGGTAAAATAAAATAAAATAAAATGTTAGAATGAAAATCTTTTAGAAAATTTTCTAAAAAATAATATTTCAGCGAAAAAATTATTCTTAAAAATTATTCTTAAAAATTATTCGAAAAACTATTGATGTTTTATTTTTCCACTGTTGTAAAAAATGACCAAAAACTACTTTGAGCTGACCCGAGAAAACCGCTTTGACAGGGTGAAACTACAATGTTTCCTGACTCCAAAAATGTAAAATTTGAAATCTAACTATTTAGTCCAAGAAAATAATCTTTATTTTTAGTTTTTAGTACTTTGCACAATAGGGCGAAATGACAGCTTTTCAAATTTTGCATTTTTACAGCATTCAAAAACTCTCCAAAATTAGCATTTATTACTCTAAAACATAACAGTCTATATAGCAAGTATAATTTGTATTTATTTTAACTCAGAAGATAAAATTTTACCTACAATTTCATGGTTGAACTATATTATAAACATTTTGTTGCATCAAAATTGTAAACAAGCTAAAAATTCCGGGAATAGGCAGTGAACATGTTTATTTTAAGTTTTGCATCAAAGTTGTAAACAAGCCGAAAATTCCGGAAATAGGCAGTGAACATGTTTGTTTTAAGTTTTGCATCAAAATTGTAAACAAGCTAAAAATTCCGGCAGTGAACATGTTTATTTAAAGTGTTTCACTTATCAGTTGTGTGAGAAAAATTTCAAAATGCCAAATTTTTCAAAATTTCATGAAGATTGTCGAAAATCTGTCTATGTCTTGTGTCTGAAGAAGTGCTCTTGAGAGTTGACACAGTTCCTTGTTGAAAAGATCCTCAAGCATTACCATACAAGTCTTGATTTGAGTGCCAAGAGGCATTTGTGACTCATGTTGAACAATTCTTCGGAGAAAAGATGAAGGAAAAGATGTTAACCTGCCACCTTTGTTTCCTTTCTCATCTATAAAAGTTAGACCACCAACAAGAGATCAAGGTTGCAACTGTCTTATTTGTCAAGTTGGACATTTGAAGTTGAATGAGAAGAGCCCAGTGGACTATTCTAAACCTGTGGAAGATTGTATCCCTTAAAGATGTGGTGATTGTTTGAGTCTAGTTGGAAGAGGTCTGCCACATCAGTGCACTCCATTCACTTTTAGAGAGAATCTCAAGCAGCTAGCTACAGCTGATCAACTCGCTGCAGAGCAAACAGCTACTCAAGTCATCTCTACTAAACCTTCCACACCTGGTGGTACTGTCAAAATATCGCATCCTAAAGGCGGCCCACCACTTAGAGTTAAAACAGGTGATACTTTTATATATACATATAAAGATGGTAGGTTCAGAGGGAATACCTTTAATTTTAAAACTTAAAATTACAAAAAGTGTTAATATAATTTCATTTTTAGGAAGCTCAAGTGCAAGAGCTCTTTTTCCTGAACCCATCATCAAAACTGAAGATCTTGTACAAGTTCAGCTAAACACAAGACTGTCCAACCTTGGCATGAAGAAATTGGCATCAACCATCAAGAGAGTCAGTGACGCCAAGATTGTGGAGACTAGTTTTCTTGCTAAGTTTGAAGCCATTAGCAAATAGTTGTCTGAGTTTTTTACTCAAACCAGCATCCAAGTTATATCAGAGAGTAACTCCATTGTCTTTGTGGTTGTGCATTGCAAGGATCTTGCCGAGCTTTTGAATGAAGTCCTGCTTTCTCGAAGAGTTTTCCAGAATCATATTGTCAAGTTGGGAATTGATGGAGGTGGAGGATTTCTGAAAGTTTCTCTTGGCATCATGGAGTTGGATTCTCACTGTGATTCAAGGTCACTATCACAGAAAAAACGTTTAACTCAGAGGACTGCCAAATACAGTAGTGTAAAGCGTCAAATGCTTGTGGCTTTATCAGAAGGACTACAAGAAAACTTTGAAAATGTGAGGCAGATCTTGTCTTTATTCAAGTAAGACAAAGTCAACTTTGTTGTCTCATGCGACATGAAACTTGCCAACATCCTTTGTGGCCTTCAGAGCCACGCAAGTACTCACCCTTGCTCTTGGTGCAACACAGAATCAAAGCATCTTTCTCAATCAGGATCTTTGAGGACACTAGGCTTACTTGTTGCCTGTTATCAAGAGTTTGCTAAGTCTGGTGGTGATATCAAAAAGCCAAAATCTTTTGGCAATGTAGTGCATGAGCCTTTGCTATCTGGTTCTGAAAACAAACTCATCTTGGAGCTCATACCACTAATGGAACTCCATCTTCTCCTTGGTGTGGTCAATCACATGTACAAAGCCATGACAGAAGTTTGGCCGAATGTTGTCAGGTGGCCCTCAGTTCTTCACATTCAACGAGAACCATACTATGGTGGGCAGTTTGCAGGGAATGCATGTCACAAGCTTCTCAGCAATCTTGACCTCCTTCAAAGATTTGCAGAGACTGAGTCTGCTTTTCAAGTCTTTTGAATCATTGATGCCCTTCGAAAGTTTAAGTCTGTGGTGACAGCATGTTTTGGTATGGTTCTGAAGGATGATTTTTCTGAAAAAATTGATCGCTTCAAAGACTCATATTTGGCAATCATGAACATCAGTGTGATTCCAAAAGTTCATGCTGTTTTTTTTCACGTGAAGCAATTAATTGAGATCAAAAGGACTCCCTTGGGGATCTTTAGTGAGCAGGCAACAGAATCAATGCATCATAATTTCAGCTCACATTGGCAGAGATACAAAAGAGACCGCAATCATCCTGAATATGCAAAGAGGCTTCTTTCATGTGTTGTGGACTACAACAGTAAACATTCGTGAAGAATCAAATATTGAGAAGAATTTATTTTATGTACCATTTGCTCTTTATGTGTTTAGAATCGAGAGGTTGTTTTTGTATTTTGGCTTAGAATAACTAAAATAATTATTTAAGAAAGTGTTTATTATTTCCATCTTGCTAATGAAAAACTATATCAGTTGTGTCAGAATAAACTATTATTCAAGTGAATTTTAGACAGTTATGTTTCGGAGTAATAAATGCTTATTTTGAAGAGTTTTTGAATGCTGTAAAAATGCAAAATTTGAAAAGCTGTCATTTCGCCCTATTGCGCAAAGTACTAAAAAATAAAAATAAAAATTATTTTCTCGGACGAAATAGTTAGATTTCAAATTTTACATTTTTCGAGTCAAAAAACATTGTAGTTTCACCCTGTCAAAGCGGTTTTCTCGGGTCAGCTCAAAGTAGTTTTTGGTCATTTTTTACAACAGTGTTTCAGCAGTAGTTCTTGAGCACGCTTCGTTGAGTTTCGGTAACTTTTAACAAAAAAGCGATTGTTATTATTTAAGTAATTTTTTTCGAGTTTCTTTTTACAAAAATTTTACTAACTGTACTTTTTTGTTGAATCAAGTAGAATACGTTTTAATATTATTCCTTTTATTTTTTTTTATTTGCACTTACCAATTTTTAAAATGTTTCCTCGAAAATACTCTTAAATACTTTAAATTCGTCTAACAATTAATAAATATTTTTAAATCTAATAATTTTAATAATTTTAAAACCTAACAAACCCCTGTAAAATAATTATTTAAGTTAAAAATCTAAAACTAAAAGAAAGTATTTTTGTTCAATTTTATCCACAACTTTGCTATTGCTGATTAATTTATTAAAATGCTAGCTTAAAAAGATTTAAACATTTTTTTAATCTGAAATTTTTCTACTTGTAAATAATGAGCATGTTTATTTTTTTTGTAGCTCAAACTTTAATATCAACTGCATGCGGTTTTTAAAAAACTTTATTAAATGTTAAAATAATCGTAAATTACTTCATTAAAATTCCGCTCAAAAATATCTTTAAATATACTCAAACAAAAATTT